GTGCTCAAAATAATTACCCTTCCTTTAATTAAGTGGGTAACATCACCAGTTCCAAGAATGAATAGTGCACAACCGTCAGGAAAAGCACCAAAGAAGTTAAGAAGAGAAAAGGATCTGTTTATTCAAGAAAAGTAATAATTACTCTACTTAACTGGTAGAAGGTCCAGCTCGTTCTCTGATATTGCAAGGGTAACAAAGAGAAGACTTAGGGCAACCATCCCTGTCTCACAGTAGGAAGGACAGCATCTTCTCTTCCCTCACTACGAGCACCAAGAAGATCTCTTTCTATGCAGACTGTTGCTTTGGGCCTCCGAAGAACTCTATGAAAAGGTCTGCCTCAATACAGAATATTAGTTGATATTTATATGAGTTGATATTTATCAACTAGAAAATATAAAGATTTTCATTTGAGATAGCAAAGAATTTCTCTTTTACATCTTCAGGGTACAAAACAAAGAGATGCTTTGGATGAAAAGAAAACATTTTTTAAATTCATAGAAGACTTTTCCTTACTTGTTTCAAACATCTTATATTCTGTCTTTCTTTTTCTTTTTATTGAGTTTATTGGTACACTCTAGGTATACAGTACAGTTACATTTATTACTGGCATCTTGTACCTTTACATGACAGGTCTTGGTTCTCATTTTTTCCCCTTGTCCCTACCTTCCCTTTACCCCCTCCTCCCTTCCCCATTTACAAACACTTTATTTACATTTTTTTAATTTTCTCATTTTTTTTCTTTTCCCTTGTTACCTTTCCCCTACCCTTCTCACTTTCCCTACACCTTTAGCACTTTTCTTCCTATTTCACTGTTAATTATCTAATTAGGATCTTGTGTACTATTATAGTTTTTTCACACCGGAGAAACTATTCTGTATTTACACATGTATGGCTTATTTATTTCACTTAAGAGTATATCCTCAAAATGTATCCATTTTCCTATGAATGACTCTAATTTTTCATTCTTTATGGCTGAGTAGTATTCCATTATATAGAAAAACCACATCTTTATCCAGTTTCCAGCAGATGGGCAAATGGGCTGTTTCTATGTTTTAGCTATTACAAACTGTGCAGCTATAAACATAGGTGCACATATATCACCGTGATATGATTCTTTTAATTCTTTTGGAAAGATACCCAGCAGAGCTATGGCTGGGTCAAATGGTACCTCTAGTCCCAGCTCTTTGAGGTATCTCCATATTGATTTCCGCAGTGGTTGCACCAGTCTGCACTCCCACCAACAATGGAGAAGGGTTCCTTTCTCCCCACAACCCAGCCAACATTTGTTATTGTAAGATTGTTTGTTTTTTTCCAAGAGAAAAGGATGAGAATGTATATTTTTAAAAGAATTTTGGGCTAGCAGGGCAGTATCTGTTAACTATTTGATTGGCTTCAAGAAATGATGGTCTGTGCTTTGCAGGACTTAGAGAGAACGCATTTTGTTTTTTGAGAGACAGGCTGATGAGTCTCTTCAATATATTAAGTGCTAAAACCTATACAGAAATATAGAATGTAATTCTGTTTTATTGCACAGGCAAGGAAGAGAGAAGAATATGTTAGTTTAACCATCCAACCTTTTGCAGAATTTATCTGCTGTGAGAAGATAAATTAAGTTCACTGTCTCTATTCCTCCCCCTCTCATTTTATTCTCTTTGCTTCTACTAGTGTTTTAACTTAAATTTGTTATTCAAGTAACTTTCAGAAGAGCAATTAGGCAAACAATGTTGGAAATATTACAAAAGAGGCAAGTCTCAGCTCTGAGGTCTCTATATTTCAAGGTACCTAGATGAACAAACAGACACCTCCTAGAGTGACACAAATATGTTTTCTCATTAAAGTTTTTATTTTTATGCTTAATTTGAATGTATTTTAATATCATTCCAATTGTATTGATATTTTTTTATTAAGCAACTGCTAGAGATCACAGTACAACTCAAACTATGGGCTTGAGCAAAGGAATCTTCAAGATGAACACACTTTTCCGTGCTAACTCAGCCTTAGTAAGTTTAGAAAATAATTTAGACTGTTAATGATAGTAAGCTATACAGGCCATCAGACTTTTAAAAAAGAAAAAAAGATCTAAAGAAACTATATCAGTCACCTCTGCCCAGTATTAGCAAGTTATAGGTGGCTCAAGCTTCTTGCCCTCTATAATTTGGCTATACTTATTTCAAAGTAGTAAGGCTTGGCTGAGTTCACTTCTAGCCAATGTCAATTTGCCTTAGTGTAAATTCTTCCCCTCTGAATTAAATATATGTTCCCTCTAGCAAAAAGATATGCTAATGCCCTCATTCTATACTCCTGCTTATGATAATGGCCATCAGCATCAGGCCAGGTGTCCTGGGGATGGTCCTTTTCCTTCTTCCTATTCTTGTAATGAATAAACACTGGACATCCTTGGTGTCATTTGTCTCTGTGCTGCCCATGGCAGTTTAAATCAGCCCAAGACCCAGCTTCTCTCAAGCCTCTCTCTCTCTCTCTCTCTCTCTCTCTCTCTCTCTCTCTCTCTCTCTCTCTCTCTGTGTCTCTCATTCTATTGTCTCACAAGAGATCAAGTCCTGCTGCAGGGATCACTGCTAAAATTCTGTAGAACAAACATTTGTAAAACTGGTAATATACCAGAAGAACACACACTCACTAATCTCACAGATTGGAGCTTCTCCACCTTCTCCACCACCATCATGTATACACATCCTTTCATTTCCAAGTAACATGTATTAGCATCCTGCATAGGTAGAGAACTGAAGACCCAAAACATTTGACTAGGCCTTGCTTAAAATTAAATTCTACCATTAGAATTGTTTCATATATTTGTTGGGCAAATAAGTACCCAAACTGTTATAGGTTTCTTATATAGATGATCTCAATTATCCTTCTTAATTCTATGCAATAGGTCTCATTATTATTTCCATTTTACAAATGAGGGGACAAAGTTCTCTCAGCTATCTTTATTTCAGGCAGTTGCTAAGGAACAATGTTAAGATTTTCTTATATCATTAAGTATCTGTAGAGAAAAATGCACCTTTTTTGAGTCTGTTTGTAGCCACCCCATACATGGGCCATTGCCTGACACAGGAGGACACTGAATACACAGAAGATTTTGATCACGTCTTGAGATTTCATAGTCTGCACTGCTAAAGAGGAGCACCTGGGACTGAAACTTGACATTTCCATGTTGAGGGTGAACTGGCTTTAGCAAATCAAGTTGGATTTTATTAGAAATAAATCACTCCTACATAAGACTGAAATCAACTGGCTCTGCTCTTCCACTCTTATTTTTTCTCTTTCTGCCTCAATTCTGACAGATTGAAGTATGAAACAGTAAACTTTCTGACAATGTAGCCATCTTCTCACAGAGACTGAATTAAATATATTGCATAATTAAGTGGTTCTAACTGAATGCAGTGTAATTTTTAATAATACTGACAAAGTTTGTTCCATCTTTTTATTTTTGGAGGGGTAAAAATGAATTTGATTTTTTTTGAATTGTGTACATAGATGACTTGGGATTAGGTTTCAATGTAATTTTAAATGTTTCCATATATGTCATAAATTTCTGATCACATCTAAATAGAATCATAGGCTTGAGCATATGCTAATAATGTCTTTCATGGAACAGACATCCCAAGTGAAAAGAGTTCTTCTGTAACTGGAATTTCAGCAGTGTCATTTGCCAATATTAATTTTGATAAAGTGTTAGGACCTTATTCATCACAAAATTTGTGTAATGACTAACTCAGTCATCATTGGACCATTCTTTTAATAACTGCATCCTTAATTATTAAAAGCATTTTGAATGTAACTCAGTGAAAAACCTTGTGACAATTATTTTCAGACTATAAGAAAGTTACCAATTTTTCATAAATTCTCACCAGGGTGAATGCATAAATAAATAATACAAATATTTCCTAATAGTCCATGTTTTTAACATTTTCTTCCATAAAATAACAATAGAAATGACTGCCTCAACCAATTACAGGTTGAAAATCTCTGATAATACTGACCACTCCCAAGAAACATATATTCATTGAGAAAGACTCAATTCCTATCTACAAGACACTCTATGTGTCTTGTGGAGATATCTTTCCACAATAAGGTATGAAATTAACTCCTTACAATAACAAGGGCCATTACTTATAAAAACATGGTTAGTCACCCTAAACTGTTTCCAAAAGATGAAAGAAATTCCAATCTCATTGTTTGCTATTACATCTTAGGTCTAAATTATTGTATATATGTAGGTGCATATAGGCAAGTATGCCCATATGTATACATACTTCTTATCTCCTAACCCACATAAGAACTGGAAATAATGAATTACTACAGTACTAAATACAGAAATCCTAGAATCAGCTTTACTAACATCATAGGACAAAAGCAATTGATATCATCTGGAAAATTCACTAGACCATAGTGGAAAGACTTCAGAGTCTTTCCAAACTTGACTTTGAACTCTGTCTCTACCACTTCCCAGCTGAGGGACCCAGGCCAGAAAAAATAAATAATTTTAGGGAGAGTTGCCCAGAGTTGCTATGACATTTGAGAAAAGCAAGCAACGGAACATCTGCTCAAAATAAATGTGCATAACACCTGGCAAAAAAATCACTGAAGAGTAAAATCCCTTTAGAAAAAAATTCAGCAAAATGTCATTTAAGAGCTGTTTTCTTCAGTCTCTCAAATCCATGGCAATAAGGATTTTGGCAGTGTCAGAATAAGCACAGCTTTCAGCTGAAATTAAAATTGAACTTTTTTTCAATTACACAAATTTGGAAACTCATAGTTTTACATGACTTTTGACCGAAAAAGCAACTCTTTTGGTGAGAGATGGAAGCTTTTAAGAAGCAATTTTCTTAAATGTCTGGCTTTCTATATCCCAATCTATCTCATCATAATTTCTCATAAATGCCGATGACACACTTGATGTTGTTTACCACTCTAGTTGGGGAGGTTTACTTTATGAACTCTAGCTGCTCAGTGAATTAAATAATATGCTTGCTTACCATTCCAAAAATATTTGTTCATTTCTGCTTCTTGGACAGATTTTGGGGACATCTTATTGTGTCATTGCCACCACTACCGAAAAGAGGCAGAAATGCAGGTTCTGAAAGTGAAAAATGTAAGATAGAAAAAAAGAATAAATAATCCACTCTGCTCTATTGCATAACCCATGGTTTAGTCAATTTATGACCAGATGCACACTAATATGATTAAGAACAAAGAAAATACAATCTAGTGGCAGGGGCCAGAATCCCAGCTCTAACTGCTTATTATGTGTTTCATTCCTGTATGAACAAGTTGCTCTCTGAAGTTCAACATATAGTATTAGACAGACATGCTGACAAGAATCTATTAAATGACTCCTCTGAGTGAATAAAATACTATAAATCAAGAGTTTGTCACATGGTAATTGTGATACAAGGAATACAACTTAATGATTATAAAGGTATATTTATGCTATTTAGTATAGTTTCTTATCATAATATCGCTGTACATTTTGTTCAAAGTCATATTTGATACAAGATAATCACCTTTTGATTCAGCAAGATGTTTATAATATTAAATAAATATATAACTTAGAAAGTCACATTTCAAATACATAGTCTCACAAACACACACGCACACAAACACACATACAAACACTCATAGCCATCATTCAGTATCTAAGAGGGATTGTTTTCAGGACTGCCTCCATGAAATAAGTATTTGTTCAAGTCTTTTGCATGAAGTGGTGTGATATTTAGATATAACCTATCCATAAGCTCCCATAATCTTTTAATCATCTCTAATTACTTATAATACCTAATATAATGTAAATGACATAAATGGTTGTTATATTCTACTGTTTGGGGAATAACGACAAGAAAAACATTTCTAAATGTTCAGTATAGAAATAATTATTTTCCAATATTTTCCATCCACAGCTTGAATTTATGAATGCCAGACCTGGTGAATGCAAAGGGCCAACTGTATATCTGGGTGTCTCCAGATACAGAAACATGAAAAGATCATAATAAAAGCATACAGAAAGATCACCAGATGACTATAAATAAATGCCCTTAATGGTATTTAATGGAATGAAAAGCATAATGCAAAGCATTGATAATATTAGTTTTATAGTATAGTGTAACTTTCTCACAATTTGAAGAATATTTCATAATATTACTACAATAATTACCTAATGTTACAATATTACTACCACAGGTGCACTGAAATAGGAGTGAGACAAAAGTTCTTTCTGAGAAAGCACGAAGGCACAAATACATCTCTGTGGTACCTGTCACTTTCAGACTTATATGCATTCTTTTCTCCCTCCCTAACTATAAGTGTGCTGAAGTGTTGCCTCTACTCTAATTTGCCTTTTTATCTACCATAGTTCTTAGTATCTTGAACACTGGTTTAAAAAAAATTGAAATAAGAGAAATCAAAATACTATTGACCTCTTTATTGATTATGGAGAGTATTATGGGGGGTCCAAAAAAGGTATCAATTATATCATTAAAAGATAAGTATTCTTAAAAATTACACATCAGGACATAAAATTAGCATTAAAAATCAATATCTTTAGAGTAGATCAATAATGAACTAGATATTACAAAACATTTAGAAAAAAAAGAAGTCATAGTACCTTTAAAAATATACACCTAGGGTTCAAATTAACCACACAGGAAAATATGAAATAAAAAGGATTATGATGCAGTATATATTTATAGCAACTCCCCATAAATGCCTTTATTCAATATGTATTGAAAACATCTCCTAATAAAAAATAATTAATATTGTTTAAAATTCCATTTTGTATTACCAAAATCAATCTATAGACTCAATGCAATCCCTATCAAAAATCCAATGAAGCCAGGCATGGTGGCGCATGCCTTTAATCCCAGCCCTTGGGAGGATGAGATAGGAGGATCGCTGTGAGTTCAAGACCAGCCTGGGCTACATAGTGAGCTCCAGGTCAGTCACAACTACATGGTAAGACCCTGTCTCAAAAAAAAAAAATCCTAAAATTCATATAAAAACACAGAAGATCTGGAGTAGCCAAGGATAGCCTGAACCACAAAGCAAGATCCTGTCTCAAGAAAACCTGAAAAGCAAAAACAAAAAATATAAACAGCATATTATTGGCATAAAAATATAAATACATAGACCAATAGAATAGAATAAAGGACACAAGCACAAACCCACACCACTACAGTCATTTGATTTTTTACAAAAGTGCCCCAAAAGTATATTGAAGAAAAGATAACCTCTTTAACAAATGGTGCTGGGAAAACTAGATATTTATCTGTAGAAAACCTAAGTTTGACCCTTATCTCTTACAATATACAAAAAATCCAATCAAAACGGAGCAAAGCCCTGTAAGTTCTAAACTGCTAGAAGGAAACATAAGGAAAATGTTTGAAATTATAGTATGGGAAAAGACTTCTCAAATGGGACTCCTGTGGCACAGAAAATAGTAGAAAGAATCAACAAATGGGACTACTACAAATTAAAAAGTGTTTACAGAGAAAAAGAAATAACTAAAGGAGAAGAAACAGTCTAATGGGATAAAATCTTTGCCAACTCATCATCCAACATAGCATTGAGATCTTGCATATATTAAGAACTCAAACAAAAAAAAATCAAATAATCCAATCAATACATGGACAAATAAATTTAACAGATAAATTTCAATAATTCTATGGAAAAAAATGTTCAATATTTTTAGATAATAAATAAATGCAAACCAATGTAAAACTGCATTGAGATTTCATCTTGCCCTAGTCAGAAAGATAATCATTAAGCATATAAAAATAAGTAAATGGCTGTGCATGCTGGCAGGAAAATCACTGTGAAACTGAGGCCAACCTTGACTATAATACTGACTTCAAAGTCAGCCTGGGATTACCTAATGAGACCCTGTCTCAAAAATAAAATAAAATAAATTAAAATAAAATAAGATAAAATAAAATAAAACCCCCAAAGATACAGGAAAAAAAGTTTCTACACTATTAGTGAGGGTGAAAATTTTTTCAATTAGTACAGAAATTTCTTGAACAGCTACAAATAGAATTAGCATACAGTACAGCTATACTGCTCTAAGTATATATCAAAAGGATTAAAGTCTGCATACTATAGGGATTCCTGCATAGCCATGTTTATTGAGACATAATTCAATTGTGGAAATAGCCCAGGGATCCATCACCACATGAATAGAAAAGGAAATGTGGTGTATATATACACAGTGGAGTATTATTCAACCATAAAGTACAAAGTTATGTTATTTGCAGGAAAATGGATGGAATAGATCATCATGTTAAGTGAGATAAGCTATATTCAGAAAGACATGCTTCCTAATATGTGGAATTTAAAAAGGATGATGTGAAAATAGAAGATAGGCTATGATGAGTAAAGAGCAAGGGAATAAGGAAGAGGTGGGAAAAAATGCAAGGGAGGGTATTTTAGGGGGATGAAAAAACAGATATTTTTATATCATTGACAGATCACAACATCGAAATAAATTTATTGAGATAAAATGTATCTGCAATATGCTATTAATTAGTATTTTTATCTATACTATTATATAATATTTCTAAGTGGAAGAAATTAATGTCATAAGCATATGAGGTAATTGAAAATTTAATTATATTGAACTAATAATCATTTTACAATATATATCTATCTTAAAACATGAGGTTGTACACCTTAAATATATATGATTTTATATCTCATTTACACTCAATAAAATTATGAATAGGAATTGAGGATCGAGGAAGCCACTTGAAGTAAAATAGGAAATTTAGATCCTGAGGGAAAAGGAAAAGAGCATATAAGAATGGAGAATCTATGTATGTGAAAGATAGCAGTAAGAAAAATTTGAAAGAATGATCATAGGTGAAAATATTTAAATTATACAACAGCTGGAATTTTATCTATGCAATACAAATAAGCCTTAGAATCAATTGGGATAAAAGAAGGTAAAACATAGGTACAATACTGAAAGGTAAATTGCAGATTAGGAAAGGGCTGAACCTCAATGATAATTTATAAAATGAAAATTAATGCAATTATGAGATATCATTGCCACTGTGATTGATGCAAAAATAATAACACCCATTGCTGGCAGACTGTAGGGAAAAGGTGCTAATGAAAATAAATTAGTTGCAGAAAACAAAACCTAATTACATTTCAAAAAATTTAAAGTGAACTAAATTTGAAATGTTACTATTTATAGAAACAAGGAAGCTTATCTCAAGACTTTTGGAAGGTACAGAAAACAAGATGGGACAGAAAATCTAGAAATACTTTGAAACCTAACAAATGATAATAATGTTAGGATATTTTATACCATAGATGTTTCATAATTATACCAGTTAGCTATAGCTCTTTCTACCATATATTTTAAGTTATCAAAGTCAGATGCAGAGGATAAATTTACACAAAGCATTGCAAATAAGAAAATAAATATTTGTATATGATTATATAAAAACAAAGGAAAATAGTGGAAATAAACATGCCACAGGATTGTCACTAGTTGCACATAGCAGAAAGAGAAGTAAAATGTAAAAACACCATAATAAAGCATTTGTCATTATGGAGTCTATGTCTTCTTCGTGCTGTCTGAGAATGCAACTTGAAAGTGTTGAGTACCATGAGATAAGTGTTTAAAAAATAAAAATGTTTGATATACAAAAGGGCACACTGGGCCAGGGATTTAGCTCAATGGTTCGGTGGCCTGTCTTGCAAGCACAAGGACCTGAGTAAAAAAAAAAAAAAAAAAAAAAATGAAAGAAAAAAGAAAAAAAAAGGGGCACACTAAAGATTCACATTTATACAGAAAATAATCAATATTCACATTACCCTAGGAGCATCTAAGATACATCCACAGATACAAATAAGCCCCAGTATATAAAGTATCATTTTTAGAAGTACATAAAGTGCATGCCAGACCATCTCCCACAGGGCTGGAATGGGTGTGAAGGGATGAATTATGGGTAATGGAGTTATTTGCCAGGGGATTTCTTTCCCATTAAATTCACTAAGACAACTTCTTGCTTAAAACATTCACAAATGTCACAGTAAAATGTGTTGACAGCTTGGACAGAGTAGCATTTACTCAAT